GTGGAAGGGGTGCCCCAAGGACAACTTAAAACTGTCTAATTATAAATTGCCTTAATATGTTGGATTATGACTGTCTCATTTCAAATGCTTTCGTTGTTTGCAATGCGACAAAGACTGCTTTGATTCTAAATTTATTTATCTGGGTGGAAGTGGGGCTGTTGGGGGGGAAATCACATGCAGACACACACACACACACACACAGTCTCATCTCAAATGCTCTCGTTGTCTGCAATACGACAAAGACTGCTTGATTCTGAATTTATTCATCTGGGTAGAATTGGGGCTGTTGGGGGGAAAATCACATGCAGACACACACACACACACACACACACACACACACACACACACACACGCACACACAGTCTCATCTCAAATGCTCTCGTTATCTGCAATACGACAAAAAATGCTTTGATTATGAATCTATTCATCTGGGTGGAGGGGAAATCACATGCACACACACACACACACACACACACAACCAGTTCTGCTTGGCCCGCTGAAGCTCACCCAAGATTGCAAGTACAGGCCCTTCAGGGCCGGTCCGGTTGGCCCAACGATCCACCAAAAACTGCACCAACAATTTTCGGGGGTCCACCAGGCGCCGGAAAATTGCTTGGGAACCCCAATTTTTTTTTTCGAACTTTCTCAAAATGGGGCCCAACCGGACACCTCAAACCGGACACTGGATCCGGACATCCAGACGAGACCGTCTGGATCCCGACCCGGACGTCCGGTTGACAACCATGCTAAATACTCAATTTGAAAATAATCCTGACTTCCCAAAGTCAAATTTTGTCTAACTCCCTGAATTAGTAAAAATATGGGTAGCACTTCCCATAGAAAAGAAGACTTTCCAGATTCTTACTAAGTCAGATATATAACTTAGACAAAAGTTGAAATTTTGCAAGTCAGATTTAACTAACTTCTTGGTTTTGTAAAAATTTCGGCAGCACTGCCCATAGAAAAAATAGCTTACCAAGTTTTATATAAAGCCAAGTATAACAAATGATCCCTGAAAATGCGAGAATTGACCTAAGTAAAAAAAGTTAGCTCAGAAAATGCAGAAATTGAACTAACTCCTATAGCTCTAACACGTGACGAGCAACTAAAGCAATTACCTGTCAAACTGAAACTCAGACTAAGTAAAAATCTCACTCAGCCACATGCAAGGTCAGACCACAATGATAAGTACTCTCACCCATTCCCAAGTCAATTCCTCATTGAGTAGTTCATGAAACCCTCAGATGATTTATCCCTTTATACCCAACTTACATACGGCATGCTGCTAGACCATTCTGCTTAGAAACAATGCCTAGCATGCCTTAGGATATACACGAACATGTTGCAGAACTACTTTTCTCTTCTTTGGGCATATGACTAGACCATTCTACTTAGAAACAGTGTCTAGTCCCCCTGAACTGTTTAATATTCAAAATTTAATAAGTTTTGACTTGTGTTCTCAAAAGAAAGGAAAAATATAGGCAGAGGATTGAGCCATTCTGCTTAGAACACAATGCTCAACTTGCCCAAATTACTTTCATTTATACTCTGTAATTTCTCTCCTCTTCTTAATGATATGGCTTAGCGGTGGACCAAACAATGTCAAACTGCCAGTTCTCATGCAAATATAAATAAAGTACTTTATGTTATACTTACTCATGTGCGTGGTTTCAGGCTAAACTATTGTGCTTAGAAACAATGCTTAGCCTTCCACCAAAACAGGCCTCAGGCCCCACCAACACAGTATCCAATGTTGCTCATCTTTGTCTGGCGCCCAACACCTGGCCTACTCTACTGAGCCTACCTAGCCTATCTACATTCGTGCAACAGGATCACATCCGACGTTGAAGACCAATGTACATGGCGTCAAGACCAATGCTAACCTCCCACATACACCAGGTATCTTCTCTCTCCTCCCCTAGTCAGACCTTGACCACCCACTCATGCGCCTCCTACCCGAAGACCACCTTCGCCCATCACCCGCATGCGCCCATGCAGCCCGGCTATAGCCGCCGTGCGCCCGCTGCCCTGCAGAGCCCCTCTCACCTCATAGCGCCCGTGTGCGCCCCAGCCAGCAGCGCACATGCAGACACTTGCGCAGCAACGCAGCAGAGTGTCCGCATTGCTTGCCTAGGCCAGAATATCCTCAGCCTGGCCAGCGACCTTCCTATATAGAAGTCGCAGCCCGGCTTGGCTGTGTGGGCCTGGCTGAGGAAACTCCCAGTAGCTTTCGGTCGGGCCCCAGTGTCTGCGTCCAGACCCTTTCCGACAGTTGGGGGCCTGGGCCCTTTCTGGTTGGGCACGTCCAGGCAGCCTCCAGGCTCCAAGTGTTTGCGGTTATCTCATTGGCTCACTGGGCCTCTGTGACGACAATGCTGGTTTCTGATTCGCCCGCAGCCACTTCGTGATGTGCCGGCCTCACACTGCATGTGCCCTGGGCGCAACTACCTGGCCCCGGGCTCAACTGCTTGACACAGCTGCTGTCTCTGGAAGGAACCCATGGGGAGACTCGCGTTGCACTTCAACCAATTGGCGTGCAGCAACTGTGTGATACCCACATTGGAAAATGCTGAGTTAAGGGCCTCTTGTGGATATTCTGGCCCGCCTTCACTTAGGGTGGGCATGATGCTTGCTGGGGGCCACAGCCCATATCATGTGCATGTTGGCTACGGCCCTGTGAGGGCTCATTCCTCACATTTACTGGTGAGGCAGGAAAGCATATGTGAAAGCTGGGGGAGACTGTCGCCCTTGAGAAATCGGGAAGCCGCTTGAGCAGAAGGATTAAACTATTAAGGTCTTAGCAAGACTTACAGCAAGTAGCCAAGCTAGCAACTCCAGCACCTAAAGCTAATCCGATAGCCATTTTGCTGAGAGGAACAAGCTAGACAGGGCTCTCACAGGTAAGTTACAAATATCAAACAGAGAGTGGAATTCAGACCAGCATCCAACCCTCGGGAAGCAATCAATGACGTGCACTCGGGCCTCTGAACTGTATTGGGGAGGAGCGTGTGTGATTGTATACTGTAATCTCTTCTGACTTGCCGGTGGAATAGGAACCGGACTGATGCTCCCCAGAATGGAAAGGAGCCAGAACCGCAAGGTTCTGTTTTTTTTTTGAGGGGGGGGGAGGAAAGACAGGAGGATTAAACTGATGATGAGGCCTCTCCTGTGATGCGGAATGTCAGTTGGAGTGCTCCTCGTTGACGGTACCATATTCTGAGCTACTGGTGATCGATAATCGCGTAGCTGTTTTTGCGTTTTGCCTTGGCTCCCACCTGTTGATAGGGGGGATGATTCACGTCCTTGGAGCGAGATGATGCAGCAAGTACAATAGCTCTGATGGCTGGCAGTGAATCTTCCCTTGATTGGGAATGGTCAGTGCTAAAAGGATTTTTAGTGAAATCCCCAGAGCTGGCAGTTACTCCTCTTCTTATGGATACAAATAACTGCTGCTTGGCTAAACAGTTCCCTAGCTGAGTGGGTCTAACAGTTGGGATGGGGTGGTGGTGCATCTTTCAGGTAATGCTACTCGCATGGATCATCCCAAGGACGGAAGTCCGTGGTCCATGTCGTCTGTATTTCCAGAAGTCTGGACATCGGATCATTCATCCCATCCCGGGTTCCGGTTGCACCACCCCAGTTCTCCCTAAGGATTGAGTTTTTTTTAAGCACTTCGGGTTTGCGTGCTTGATTGATTGATTGGCTGGTTGGTTGGCTGGTTGGTTGTGGCTGGTTGGTTGTGATGGTTGGTCGTGGCTGGTTGGTTGTGGCTAGTTGGGTTTGGGTGGTTGGGTTTGGGGGGAGGGGTGGTTGGGTTAGGTTGGTTGGGTGGTTGGGTTAGGTTGGTTGGGTGGTTGGGTGGTTGGGTTAGGTTGGTTGGGTGGTTGGGTTAAGGTGGTTGGGTGGTTGGGTTAAGGTGGTTGGGTAAGGTGGTTGGGTAAGGTGGTTGGGTAAGATGTTTGGGTTAGGGTGGTTGGGTTAGGGTGGTTGGGTGGTTGGGTTTGGGCTGGGTGGTTGGGGGCTTGGGCTGGGTGGTTGGGGGGTTGGGTTGGGCAGCTGGGTTTGGGTTGGGTGGTTGGGTTTGCGTTGGGTGACTGGGTTTGGGTTGGGTGTTTGGGTTTTGGTGTGGTGGGTTGGGTTAGTGTGGTTGGTCGGGTTGGTGTGGTACCGGCGGTTGATTGGGTTGGGTCCGGGCAGGGGCCGGGTGGGCAGGTGGGTGGGTGGTTGGTCATATCTGATCAAGCCTTTGATCAGATCACAGATTGATCTGATAAGATCACATCAGCTCTGATCTGATGGGCCTTTGATCTGATCATAAGGTTTGATCTCTAATATCAACTATGCAAGGAACCAGGATGCGAAAGTTTCGAGCACCAAGAACTCATTGAAAACCTTGCATTAGTAGACCAAACTGAAAGTAGATTGACAAGTGCAACTAGCGCACATTTCACACAGCAACTCTCAACGCCCAAAATTCACACTTCCTCACACCAACAGCGGCGGACCTGGTCCCAGCATGGGAGTAATTTGGGAAGCACAGGATGCGACGAAGGAAGGAGGCATGTAGACCAGATGTACCTTCTGTTTAAACATACTGGATCAATTTATGGAAAACAGTTGACAATCAACCCCTCTCGTGAGACAGAATTCAATGCTGTCAATGGAGATCCTTCATGTTGTATGCTGGATGGCTTGCTAGCGGAAAAGAAACTGGAGAGCTGCTCCTGAGAGTAGAACGGGGCGATGAATATAAGGTCCTGTACATTTTTGCCTTTCTTCTCTTTCTGAATAGAAAGAAAGGCCGTATCAGTCCCTATTGCACCGACGAGCCAGAGAATACTGAATTTACCCACTCAAAAGTTTTCATTTTTTTTGTTTTTAACTTTTTACCTCCAAAGCCTTCCCAGACCATAAGGTCATTAAAAGAAAACTCCAAAAAGCAGTTGCTCTTACCCTCTTATGACTTGTGGTTTCTCTCTGTGCGTTTGAATCTGAACCAGATTCCTTTGTGCTTGAGCAGCATGTTCAAGAGTTTGACCTTGTCTCCAAAAGTGCATGAAAAAGGTGCAGTCAAGCCACCGCATTCAAGATCAATAAGGCTAACGGGCCAATCACAGACTTCCAATTTCATTTATCTTTCTGAAAACTGTAAGTCTCTCTCTCTCTCTCTCTCTCTCTCTCTCTCTCTCTCTCTCTCTCTCTCTCTCTCTCCCCCCATTTTGTAGATTTGAGCACCTACAATCAGGCTTGTACTACTGTTATGATCCTGGCTACCTTGCAGTGCAAAAACTCAAAGGAAGACAATGCAATTAAATTGCAACTGAAATGAAGAACTTGGAAAGAGAAATAGACAAAGGAAGACGAAGAGATAAGAATGGAAGAAGAAGAAGAAGAAGAAGAAGAAGAACATGGACAGCAGCAAGGACCAATGTCAATCCCCCTTCATCTCGCCACCATCTTCATCCTCCAAGACCTCTCGCAACTTCTCATTAATAATAACTAGCTAAGTGCCCACGGTGCGGGTGGTGCGGGCTACGCCCGCAGAAACAAATGCAGTGGGTGACCTCACACTGCATTTCGGATGGCTCGCCTCCAAGATTTATGTCCGCAGAAACAACGACGCCCTACCGGGGGCCACAAAACGACAGCCGTGCGACAAATGAAGAAAGAAGGTAGGGAAAAAAAAAAAAAAAAAAAAAAAAAAAAAAA